GACCACTCGACTTGTGCATATTCGGATCAATTATTATAATAACAATTAGTCGTAGTTTCATCACCGTACTATAAATCATATACATTTTTATTACGATTATTTATAAAAATTACAATAAACTCCTAATAAGTATTAAATACTTAAGTTGTTTCTTAAGTCCTTCTCAATATGTTTAAGAATCAAACTATAATACTTCAGGTTAATTACGTCAATAAAAGTACAACAGACGACTCGACATCGCTCGCCGACAACTCACACATGATAAAACTAACCCAAGTAATTTGTGACTGCGGAACAAACCGAGATCACAACAAGGGTTTAAGAATAAGTAGGAGTAAGACAGAGCATATAGAGTACGAGTTTGATAAAGGAGAACACAAGGAAGGCGAAATAAGGAGATCAGTGACAATAGGCGAGGACGTGATTGGAGAGGTAGAAAGTTTTAAGTATTTAGGACTAGTTGTGCAAAAGAGCGGTGGTATTGACGAGGATGTAAGACACAGGATTAAGTACGGGTGGTTGAAGTGGAGAGAAGCATCTGGTCTTACGTGATAAAAGAATTCCAATGAGGCTGAAAGGTTAATTCTACAAGACTGTAGTGAGACCAGTACTCGAATTGGCAAAAAATAAGTAGGGGAGCTCAACCTAACAATTTGAAAACTGCGTCCCGAAAACCTTTTTTTTTTTTTACTCAATACTTTGTTTAGTATTTATTAATAAATCATACTTCATTATCATACTATAATGAAATATGATATCATATAAATTATAAAAAATTATTTTATTACAATATATCTGTAATAAAATAATAAATAATTGTAAAATTGATCACAATTTAAATCTATATTTTTAATAATATAATAGAAACAAATTTTCTCAAAAAAAAATTTAAAGTTATAAAAAAAATTATTTGAAATAACACCTTCAAACTTTATGAGACAAGTGAAATCTTTCTTTTTTGTTCATAATTTCGTCTAAGTCTGGCAACATGCTTGATATTTTAACTCTTAAATCAGCCAATATTAAGTGAATTACGATATTTATTTTTCTTGTAACAGTAGGTAGAAAAAGCTTGTTCACATCTATATGTTGTGCAAAAGGAGATCAAATGTCTTAAAGCTTTCTCAGTCAGTTGCTTTTGATTATTTTGAACAATTAACCAAAAATCAATTAGTTTTTTATCGTTGAAAATATTTTTCATCGTACCATTAGTTACTAAATCAATTAATTCATCTTGTTCCTGTTCAGAGAGATTTTCTATTTTTTCAATATCACAGGAAAATGGATTTCTTATCCACGTATTATTTGGGTCAGGTTGATGAAAATATTTTCTTAATATTTTGGCCATGCTCAACAAGTGTTCAGATATTTCACTTTTTACCTCCTGTGATAAACATTCACACGAAGATTCCAAAAAAGATTGTAATGAAATGTATAAAAAAGGACACACGGTACTAATCGCTCACCAGTTATGACTGAGAAGAAAATAATCAGTATGGTTTCACGTTCTGAATTATAGTAATAACAGTGTAATAGTGAAGATAATAATGATATTTATTTCTATGAAATTGATTATCTATTTTTTTCGCGATAATCAAGTTTTAATAGTCTATAAATACTCGGAATTTCATATTACCACAAAGTTAATAATTTCCTAAAATAAAATAAAAATTTTACAACAAAACAACATAACCGCGGACCCCCTAAAAACAACACGCGGACCCCTGGGGGTCCGCGGACCACCAATTGGGAACCGCTGGTTTAGAGTGTTGGATAGTTGATAAGAAAGTAGAGTAGAAAATGAGTGTAGCAGAGATGAGAATGGAGTGTCTAGAGAAGATAGGATAAGGAATGAGCATATAAGAGGGAGTATAGGTATAGCGTCAATCGTAGAAAAGATGAGAAAAAATAAACTTAGATGGTTTGATCATATTCTGAGGAGAGAAAATTCGAAAGCCGTAAAAACAGTTATAGAAATGAATGTTAAAGGAAGAAGAGCTAGAGGAAGACCAAAAAAAAAAAAAAAAATGAAGAGATTATTGAATGCGATATGAGGACAGCTGATGTAAGCGTAGAAGATGTGGGAGATCGTGTCAAGTGAAAGTTTAGGATAAGAGTGGCCGACCCCAAGTAGTTAGGATTAAGGCGAGGAAGAAGAAGAAGAAGAAGATTATATTTTCCGCTACACTATGCCCATGTACTATAAAACAAGCAAATATACAAAATATGTTCTAGCAAAAAATCAGAATCATATCATATACTATTTTTTTAATCACTTCTTGGTATCATTATCTTGAAAAATTTGTATTTTGTGATTTTGCCATGATATGGCCTTAATTGTTGTAATTAAATGTTGAAATTTATTAAATTTCAATATGTAATAAACCAAAAAGGTGTATTAAAATATAAAAAAAAGAAAGAGAGATCAAAAAATAAAATGAACGAAGTATAAAAATAAATAAATAATAATATAAAAAAAAAATGAGATGAATAGATTAGAATATAATAGAAACAGAATTAATTTGATCGGGGAATTGTTTGGAATATTTATTTATTTATTTTATAATTTCACAGGCAGAAGCCCTTTTTACAAATAATACAAGTACATAAATTAGGTAATTGTAACATAGGAAAGATATATACTAAACATATGTAAATTAATTAATAAACGCAAAGATAGAAATACAAAATGAAAATGAAATTAATTATTAAACATAAAGAAATAACAAAAATTAAAATGAAAAATTAGGGTCAAAATTGGTATTAGACATAAGACGCCTAAGTGGCTCATTTTTTGCATAATTAGTTAGGCAGTGAGGGACAACAAATGGAGTATTATTTCTTGTTGCGCGCTGAGGTACTCTGAAACATATGATAGACAACAGGCTCGGCGAATCAATATTACCATTCAATAAACCAATTAGGAAATTAATTTAAATAAGAGCGAGTAGCTGATAAAGCGTAGGAACTTTCGCTGAACTCGCTCAAGCTGTAGCGAGCTCAAGGCAGTATAAGGATCCCACACTACACTACCATATTCTAGAATAGGTCTGAATATATGTTGAATGGAATAGGTTATGTAATTAAAAGATTTAGAAATTATTCGTAATATAATAGTATTTAATATAAAATGTTAAAACATATAATATAAGAGATGTACAGCGGCAACGGGTCACTTTACTCGATAGACGGTGAAACTACGACTAAACTGTAAACATGTATACAATAGGCTGCATTGAGTAAAACAACATAATCGTAAAAGGAATGTGTCCCTTTGACCTTGTACTATACTAACATAAGTAAAAATACATTAAACTGTTATCTTAAATAATATTACTGTACCCAGTGTGTTGTTTAATAATATCAACAATATAGAACAGAATAGCACTTTAAGTGAAAGTCCTTGCTTGAAATCTTTGGCTAAACGCATAATAAAACCTAACGCTTTAAAAGCTTTACAGCAAATATAATCAATATGGAGCATAGGATCAAGATTATAACTAAACTTAAAGCCTAGATCTGTAATAGAGTTTAACTCACGTGAGATATTTACTGCAGTAATACTATAGTGAAACACAATAGGATCCTCAATACAATATTAAATGATTTGAATTTATAAAATTTTATTAAATCTATTTATTCTCGCATTAATTATTTAATTCTCCTATTTAATTTTTGTTAATGGTTTATTACGCAATTGATTGATGGAGGTTAAAAAGCATAGGTTAAATTTGTACTTGCCTAGTATCCTGTGTATTGTAACGATTATTTTAAGCAATCAAATGTTGACGATGAATACACACTGTATTTCACACGCTGTACACTACGAGCTCGACAGTTAGAATGACCGATTGAGAATAAATCGTTTAATTATAAATAATGCGAAACGGTTACACAAAATCTATGACTGTATTATTATGTGTATGAGATTCTACACACTCTATGTTTTTTTTATTATAATTAAACAATGTACTCTTATTTGACTTTGTAGAATGAGAATATTTTTTATGAGATGATATTTATTGAGAGATCGACACCAATATTTCTAAAATTTTCCTCTGTCCTGGCCAAAACAAAGTTCAGAAATATTTATATCTATGTAAAAAATTTATCAAGGTGGAATTGTGGTATCCCAATGTGTACCGGCGCTATCGCTTTGAAAGGATGTGGCACAATAATCATCAAGCCAAAAATTAAACACTAAAAAATATATTCGTAAGTTTTTTCGTACTGTCTGCCGGCGAGATGTCCATTAAAACAAAGACATTAAGCTCAATGACTAGCTACCCAGTAAGTATTGTGTTGCAATACACTTAGTCCAATAAAATTATCATTAAACTAATTTAAAGTTTATTATAAAAAGAAATAAAATAACCTTTAAAAATATTTGAGGTGTAAAATATTAATTGACATTTATAATAATTAAACATTATTATTTAATGAACAAATTAAATTAAATTAAAAGATTCATCAAAACAAAATTCACTTTAAAATGTCTAAGTGTCATTTAGTTTTAAAGAAAAATATTCTAAGTCCAAAATAAATTAAAAAGTCCCAGAGAGTGAAATCTTGAGTAACAGAGTGTCGTTAGAGTGTCGTAGATTTAGTGTATTTTAAAATCGCCGAAAGAACTGATTTTAATAGGAAAAAATGGGATTTTATAGTAGACGAGGGTCGTATAGCAATCCTTAGTGTGATCTTGGAAACTGTAGATCTTAATTACTAGTTAAATTCGATTGGCTGGACTTAATTGAGAACCCATACATAGGCGTTAATTTGAATCTGTACAATAATTAGATTTAATTCTTTAGTTTATTCATTATTTTGTGTTTTAAATAAGGGAACCCTGTTTTAGTGATCTTGTGAATTCATACATGTACGAAAGAAAACATAAAATAATATTATAATATGATAATATAATAATAATACTTATAATAAGTGATAGTATAATATTACAAATATAATACTTAAAAGTAATTTATTGATAATTTTTCTTCTAGGGATGCCAGCCTTATCAAATTGCGCCTTGTCTTCATGATAAGCCACCTGAAATTGAAGGTTCATGTATGAGCAAGCCAATAGAAGATGACCATATTTGTCGTAGAGAATGTTTTGGCGACACAAAAATTGATTATAAAGAAGATCATAGATATAGTAATTCTTAAAATCAATAATTAAATATAAAAATCTTTCCTTTTGCTTGGATAAATTAAGAATATGTTTCCTAAGCCAATTTTTTTTTCATTTAATATTTACATTATTTATATGGCTTTTATCATTTTTCTTAACTAAGTATTCTCGTAATAAAATAAGTTAATAATAATTAAGTCAATATGGATTGTTTGAAATCTGACAGTGATTAAAATTTCTATAATAAAACATTTCCAAAAGAAAAAATATATCCAAAAGGAGTTTAAAAGATTAGTCACTATCTCATTGGCTGTACTAAACTATCATTTTTGACAAAAACAAATTGAAAAGAAGTCATTCAAATTTTAGCATTTTTCTCCTCCAATTGAAAAATCATTGGAATGCCTATGCCTTTAATGCCCCTAATTTTATTATTAAAGTTATTAAAGTTTTTGTTTAAATATTTACGCTATTCATAAATTGTTAAATTTTGTTAATAAGTTCTAATATTCAACAATTTAAATTAATAATATTTTTGAGTTACAATAATATAAAATGTCAATGTTTTTTTTGTCGCGATTAAAAATCGCGAATATTTATTTTGGAAACAATGTTATCAACATTTTCAAAAATAACGTTACTCCGACAAAAAAACCCGAAAACTCCCTTATATACTTCTAGTGACGTTATCATTAAGTAATATTATCACATTTACCAGTTTACATAAGTTTAATAATGAATTTTTTAATTAAATACATTGTTCATATTTTTAAATATTTCTATTGCTTCCCTTATATTATATTTTTTGTAATTATTTACGTTTTTAATGGAGTAATTACGAGTCAATAAATGCTGAGCTTCAAGAGATTTATCAACTTCTTGATTTTTAATGTTTTTCAAGTAACTCTTTTAAAAAAAGTAATTAAATTTTTTGGGCCTGACCCCCATATTTTTTTTTTGTTTGACCTACGTAACATTTATCTATTAATGTTATAACTGGCATTTCTTCTCATTCTTAGGTTTTCTGATGTATTTTGAAAAAAATTACAAAAGTTATAAATAGCAAAAAAAATTAAAATTGATCGTTTTCCACATTTGCCAATTGTTTAAAATATTTTCATTAGTAAAAAAAATTGAGGATTGTTTTTTCAATGTTTGAATATAATGTGTTCAACTAGATTTATTTCAGTTATTTTAACATATAATTCAGTAAAATCCGTCCAAAAGTGACGAACACAAAAAAATAATACATGCAGATCATGGTAAAATTAATACCTTCGCAGTTTTGGAGCAAAACTATAAAAATATTATAATAATTAAGCTAGTAGTATTTAAAAATATATTAGGTTTACTTTTAATATTTTTTACATTTATTTTTAGCCAGAGACTATTACTACCTTGAACCCGAAACAATTCAAAAAGATATTCTAACGTATGGCCCAATAGAAGCATCCTTTCATGTTTATGATGATTTTTTGAGTTATAAAACAGGTGAGTGTTTATAAACATGTATAAATAAATTTATATTTACTTTAAAATGTAATTTTATTATTTGTTTGTATAGGTGTTTATATTAAGTCAGAAAATGCCACTTTTATAGATGGTCATGCAGCTAAATTGATCGGCTGGGGCGTAGAGAACGATGTTCCTTATTGGTTGTTACTAAACTCGTGGAACACTAATTGGGGAGACAATGGATCATTCAAAATTCGAAGAGGTACTAATGAATGTGGAATTGATAATTCAACAACTGCTGGTGTTCCTTATGTTGATGATTATTTCTATGAAACAACTTTGTAAATTTTTACATAGTTAAAAAATATTTTAAATGTTTTCATTATATGTAATGTAATGTTTAAATAAATTGATCTAATGTTTTATTTAGAAATAAAATAAAAAAAATCCAGTATATTAACCTTATCTAACAATAAAGCAATATTTAGCAATAATTTACGTATATCTATAAATAGAACATCATAAATGCTACAATTAGCTGTCTGTATTTAATGAGTCCCTTATTTTATACACGTATAAATATAAATCCCACAATATAGATCTGCCAAAATTAGATATAGCAGGCGACCCACATAACCGTATGTTATTAATAGTCTGATATATATGAGTAAAGATGAAATATCAATAAAATATTACTATTTAGCTCCTGCACAAATATGTATACACGAATTTATAAATTGTCGTAACACAAAAAAAAACACTAAGTGAGGGGGAATGTTGAAGAGAGGTAGTGTGTACGAAGATGATGTTGAGTCTGCTGCTTGGGTATTCACTAGTGATGGGAAATATCGAATAGAAACTATCGAACTATTCGATAGTCATTCAAAAAATATTCGAATAGTAAAAATATTCGATAGTTACACAATATATTCGAATAGTTTTAAAAACTATTCGATAGTTTATGCTAAAAATAAACTATTCGGTTGTATAAACACAATTTGAATAGTTATACGATAGTTTAAAATATTTGAAAATGCCCATCACTAATTTTTACTATTATTAGTTTTAGTTTTAGTTATTATTGAGGTGGACATAATGCCCATGCACTCAGACCTGTTGGTCCATTGTGCACACCTCATACCGAATTGTCTGNTCAGACCTGTTGGTCCATTGTGCGCACCTCATACCGAATTGTCTTGATTCGGTTTACCCACCTAAGTGTTATCACCAAAGTGTTAATACATTACCAACCATAAAGTCACCTCTAGAGATGACCAAAGAGTCCTGTCTTTCTGGCGAAATTAAGTATCTCTCTGGGTTTTAGGTTTTTAATATCCTCTTTTTCAGGAAATGGTTTATTCAAGTAGTTTGATTTTAGTGTGGACAAGGCTTCACATTCGCACATGATGTGAAATGAGGACCAGCTTTGAATTCACCTGATCGTTACAGAGTGCTTTCAAAGCCGCTTGACTATCACTTAAGATAGTTATCTTCCTATTTTTGTATACCAGCAGGTTCTGAGCCCCTACCAGTATCGCCATCACCTCTGCTTGGAAAACAGAGGGTGTTGTGCCCAATGACATACTGACATTTATTCGTGGCTTTAAGCCCCAAATTCCAGCACCTACCTTTCCTGATTTTTTGGATCCATCTGTATATATCACAAATCCTCCTTTGTCAGTCAGGTGGTTAATAATCCATTCTATACGTGTAGTGATCTCCACTTTGTAGGGAATATTATTCTTAAGAACCGGTTTGATATAGTCCAAGGGGTATTCTAAAAAGCCCTTGTCTATCTCTTTTAGTATTTTACCATGTTCTGTTGTATCACTCTCCAAAGTCCACATACCTAAGTTGTGGAATCTTAGTGCTGTAGCTTTGGCGTGAGCTTTCACCTCTAGATGCAGAGGAGGCAATCCAATTAGTGCCTCTAATGCGACCGTTGGTGTAGTTCTTAATGCTCCAGTGATGGCAATAGCAGCCATTCTCTGTATGCGACTAAGTTCTTTCCTAGCTGTAATGAGTGCTGTTCTGGTCCACCAGACCAGGGCACCGTACAATATCATAGGTTTAATCACTGACGTGTACAACCAATACATAACTCTTGGTTTAAGACCCCATGTCTTTCCCAAGGCTCTGCTGCAAGTCCACAATGTGGTCATTGCTTTTTTGATTCTTGACTCAACATGTGATTTCCATTTTAGCTTACTATCCAAGATAATACCTAAGTATTTTACTTCTGATTTTAAGCTAATTTCTTGTCCATTCAGAGTAAGAGTGTCCAGGTTGTCTAGTCCTATTCTCTTTCTAGTGAACATAACAACCTCTGCTTTATTTGGATTAACAGATAGACCGTACTTACTACACCATATCTGTATAGTGTTAAGTCTCTGTTGTGCTAAGTCAATAATAGTGTCTGGGAATTTACCCACCACTGCTATAACCAAGTCATCCGCATAGGCTTGTGTATAACAATATTTGTTTAACTCTCTAATAAGCGAGTCCAATACTAGACACCATAGCAAGGGGGATAGAACCCCGCCTTGTGGGCATCCCTGTTTGACACTCTTGATTACTTTGGTCTCATTGAGCTGTCCCAAAATGGAGCGTTCCTTAAGCATGGATTCTATCCACTTAATAATAAGTGGTTCTATTCCATGCTGTTGTGCAGATTCACACATAGCATCGAAGGGAGTATTGTCAAAAGCCCCTTCGATGTCCAGGAATATACCTACTGCATACATTTTATTCTCTACAGCTTTCCCTATCTTAGTAGTTAAGCAGTGTAGAGCTGTATCAGTAGATTTCCCCGTTTGATACGCATGTTGGTTTTCATGTAAAGGGTTCTCCTTAAGAGGCCCCTCCTTGATGTACCTATCAATAAGTTTCTCCATAGTCTTAAGAAGAAAAGAAGTAAGACTTATTGGTCTGTAGGATTTTGCTTCATAATAGTTAGTGCGGTTAGGTTTGGGTATAAACACTACCCTAACCTTACGCCAGCTTTCTGGTTGATAACCATAGGCAAGGCATGCCCTAAATATTTTGCAGAGATGGGGGACGATTATCTCTAACCCTTCTTGTAGAAGTGCAGGGAAAATTTCATCACAGCCTGCAGCTTTAAAACTGCCAAAGGCTTTTATTGCCCATCTTATTCCACTTGGGGTTATCACTCTCCTGGTTAGTCTCCAATCAGCACAGGTCACTCGTTTGTCCTGTGCGTCATGTTCCTGTTCTCTGTTGTTAATTGTAGAGTCAGGAAAATGTGTATTCATCAAATGTGATAATGTTTCATTATCATTATTGGTGAACATTCCGTCTGGCAGTAGTATTGCCTCGACAGTTTTGTTTGGTCCATTCCTTAGTGATCGCAGAAGTCTAGTTGCTATAGGGAGTTGTTGTATATCCCCACAGAACTTCTTCCAGCTTTCTCTTTTGGACTTTTTCAATGCAGATTTGTAGTTCCTTTGGGCGTCCTTATAGGATTCCCAGTGTTGTTCCAAACCTGATTTCATTGCTTTATTTAAGAGCTTACGTGAACTCTTTCTTAATTTAGACAGGTTAGCATTCCACCAAGCTACACCCTGCCCTGTACCTTTCCTTTCTATTAAAGGACAGTTTTCTTTGTAAACTGAGACAATGGAGTCCTGTAGCATATTTACAGCCCTTTCAGTACTCTGTCTCGACCCCAATCTAAACTGTAGGTTAATCAGGTCACGAGAGAGATCTGCCCTGTATTTGTCCCAGTTTGTTCTTTTCGGGTTCCTATAGTACTCCGTCTCAACTTTGTTAATTTCCAAAGTGAATCGTAAGTGCCTATGATCAGAAAGAGAAGGTTCGGAGGACACTTTCCACCCTTTTATCTTTTGAAGTAACCCTTTTGAACAAACTGTTAGATCAATGACTTCCTGCCTGTTCCTGATAACAAAAGTAGGTTCACTACCTCTGTTCAGTATACTTAGGTCTGTAGTCAGCAATAGATCCATTATAACCTCTCCTCTTTGGTTGATGTTACTGCTCCCCCAAATAGTGTGGTGTGCATTAGCATCCATACCTAGGATTAGTTCTAATTTTTCATTTTTGCAATAATTAAAGAGCATAGTTAGGTCCCTACCTGGGTCTGTGACCTCATATGGTAAGTATCCTGAAGCTACTATGATATTTTTACCATCATTTAGTGTTACTCTAATAATAGTCAAGTCTGCACTTGATAGATTAAGTATCAGGCTGGCTTTAACTTTATTATTAACCAAAATGCAAGTTCTTGGTTTATCTGCTTGTTTATGAAACAGTTTAAAATCCCTTAGATTTAGCCCCTTAATCTGGTCCCCATTTATCCATGGTTCCTGAATAAGTGCTATTTGTAAGGGTGTTGTATGCCTCTCAGTTAGGGTCCTTAGTAATACACTACTGGCCCCTTTACTGTGATGCAGGTTTATTTGCGTGAATTGAATTCTATTGTCAGCCATTCAGATAAACTGATGTTGACGCCTAAGAAAGCACGCTGTGCTGGGTGTGATACAGGTGTCTGAAACAGTCCCTGTGTCACACAGCCCCCCCTGTGGGTGGTGTCCCACCGCCGTCCCCAGGTGGCGACCGTGCCTTGGTTCCGCTCTCCACATTTCCTTTTGGATCTGTGGAGAGGTTCCCCTCAGCTGTGGCCGTTATTGAGGGTGGCGGTTTCCTGGGTCCCTTTCCCTTACGTAACACACTTCCTCCCTTCCCTTTCGAGGCAGGAGTAAAGTGTGTCCGTTTGCCCCTTACCTGTGCCTTACCTACTTTCACGAGTGGCACTGGTGATTCCTCAGCCTTCCTCTTCCCAGATTTTTGAGGTGTGGATTTTTTCACATCCTTCCGGGCTGGTGGCTGCTTGGCAACATAATCTGTGAAGCAAACTCTGCCCATTCCAAAATATGGACTGCGCTTCAGTTCCTCCAGTTTGACCATGCTGTTTTCGTCCACACTTAGAAACAGAGTTTGTCCTTTCGGGCCAACCTCTGTCTCATGGTGGACTTTCCAGATCGCCGTGTTCAGCCCTGGGTTTTGTTTTGCCAAAATTTCCATGATCTTCTTGGAATCTTTTGGCAGCCCTGGTATGTGAGTGACCATCCGTTTATACTTGATCGGGTTGTAGGCTTCCAAATGGAGTTCTGCACCGTCCCAAGGTTTTATCAAGTTGACATGGTCAGTGAGCCACTTAAGAGAGCTCTCTTGGGCTGCACTGATCACAAGTGCTCCATCAGTGAGTCTGGTGTCTTCAAACCTTGGTACGTCGGTTCCATCAGTACCCGACAGTATCAAGTCTCCAACACAAGACTCAATGAGTAGCCCCTGCTCTGTGGTCAACTTGTTAGTGGGGTAGCCTGCGAGGACCAGAGCCACTTTTTTATCATCGGTTACCACGTCCCTGTAGGTCGGTACCCAATGAGTTTTCTTACATGGAGGTTCTTGCCCCTTGTCCTC